TCCAATCTTACAAATGTACAGCATCCACAGGGACCCGGTAAACATTGGAACCGCGTCAAGCCAGGCTTGGAACCTGACAGTCATTATTTCTTCTTGAAAGGTTGTATCTTTTCAAATGATTCTGGGAAAGGGCTTTTTTAAAAAATCTTCTTCTTCTTCTTTTTTTTTTTTTTTAAATGTACTGCAGCACCACCTATATTAACACAACCATATTTATGTGGAATGTGATCTAATTTTTGGAGGAGTATCTTTGGTTAATGGTGGGGTTTCTCAACCCTAGCAATATCTACATATTGGGCCAGGCAAGTCTCTGTTGCGTGTGGGGTGTCCTTTGCATCTCAGGCTGTTTAGCAGCATCTATGACCTCTATTTACTAGGTAGGTGCCAACAGCCCCCCACCCCTAGTCCCTAGTTATGACAATTAAAAATATGTCTAGAAATTTTCAAATGACCCCCCCAGGGACAAAATCTCCCCCATTGAGAACCACTGGTCTATCTACGTGCATTTATGTATACAAACAGAAATATTATTGGAATCAGGAAACTTTGCTGAAAATGAAATTGTACATTCTGTAGAATTTTGGGATGTGGTGATGCCAGATTCTGAAAGACTCTCAAAATTCCTTGAGCACTGGCTTCTGAAAGTAAGATTCCCCCAATTTCTTTAGTTTTTTTTTAATTCTGTGTTCATCACTGGTTAAGTGCTAAGGGGGAAAAAAGAAAAAAGAAAAAAAGAGAGAGTGAGGATTTGTTCAGGAAGCCCTGCAAGAGGAGGAACATGTGCAGCTTTAAGAGGCAGTGTTGTGTGTGGTTACATAAAGTCAGCAGTAAGCCCAAGAGGCTGGGAATGCAAACAGAGAAGCCTATGCATCATTATGCCACGGCCTCACACAGCTCAGAAAAGCAGACATGTTTCTTACAGAATGTCTCTGGCTCCCAACAACAGAATTGCAATGTGAGGTTCCTGCTAAAAATTGTTGACTCACCAGTGAGTAACACAGAAGGTGTTCCAGGGGTCTAACTGCTCTGCTGCCACCGGCCCCAGGACAGCAGGAGAAACCAGGAGAGCCCTGAGTTTCCTAAGTGGCTTTTCTTAAGGGTCAGAATCTCCTGTAACCTGGGAGGCCCTGCCTCTCCTTCCCAGTGAAAATGCCAGTTTGCATTTCCAGGACTGGGTTAACATTCTGAGACCCTGTGTCACCCTGAATTGAGCTCACTGATGTTACATCTCACACCCGTTTAAGCTCTGTGGGACCTTAATGCATTTTTGTGATTCAAGGGAGAGACCATTGAGCTGCAGTAATTCCACACAGGGAACTACTGTTTCCATGTCTTTCTTTTTCTTACTTAAAAATCAATGTGGGTTTATAAACAAAAGCCACAAGCGTATGGTTCTGAGCAAGATGGTCTTCATGCTATAAAGATCTAATATTGACTTTGTTCTACATTGAAGTCAGATTCATATATTAAAAAATATATACTTGAAACTTGTTATTGGGATATCATTAGTTAAAAATTCCAGGAGATGCCTTGAAGTTTACTGTCAGACTCTTTACAGAGAAAGTTCATGTAACAAATTAACAATGTATGAGAGATCAAAAACAAAATGCTTAAGACAACAGTACTTGTCTTTTAAAAAAAATAACAACTAAACATGTTAAAAGCTCTTATTCACACATAAACAATTGTTGTGTTATTTATAAATGGAAAATTTTCTATTCATTAAGGCCATTTTTCAAAGACCTACATGAATTATTTAAGGGAAGAATAGTACATTCCATATATTCTATGTAATTAAAGTAAAACCACAGGTCTTAAATAGCGTGAGTAACTCAGAGTGGCCTGTTTTAATTAACCCTAATTAATGAAACCTGTGTTTGGAAAAGATTCTCAGTGTTGCAATGTGAGAGTGTCAAAATAAAGAGGCTCCTGACTGATTTGCTTGGACCCCCACAGGAAGACGGTACCAGGGAGAGTTGGTAGGAAGGTTATCTTTAGGAACCTAGATCTAATATCTTCTTATTCCTCTAGAAGATTCATTTCATTAGCATTCCAAAAGGGGAATGAATGGAGGGGGATTGTCTTCTCTTAACTGAACTCACAAGTGACTGATAGATAAACCACAACACCAACTTTCAACTGTTAAGCAGATCTAAATAGTTGGGTCAGTTAGTGCATTGCCCTTGAAAGAATATCTATATCAAAAGCTAAATTATAATGAGAAGATTGGTGTATCGGAAACCCAGTCAGGAAATCATATGCCAATGGCATTCTACCAAGAAGACTGGCATACCTGTTTATTACATCTATGCTCGTCAGTGGTCAGAGAACCTGTGAAGTTCTTGCTCACAGATGCTCCATTTATTTAGGTTACATGCTGATCTTCTGTTAATAAAGCCTTTCTTCAAACATGGTCCAATGTAATTGATAAGCTCTTAGTTGTTCCATTCCAATATTCCACGGAAGCTGCTTGTGCGCTGCTACAATGGAAAGTGTCCCTATATTTCATGTGTTGGCAACTTGGTCCCCAATGCAAGTGGTGTGGGGAGGTGGGACTTTTGGGAGGTGACTGTGGCATGAGGGTTCTTCCCTCATGAATGGGTTACTTTATTCAGGGATTAGTAGGTTATTGTAGACATGGCTTTATGATAAAAGTGAGCTCTCTGACTAGCTTTCTCTGTTTTGCCATGTGGTGCCTTGTACCACGTTAGGGTACAGCGAGAAGGTGTCACCAGCAGCCAGCACCGTGTTCCTGAACCTCCAGCCTCCAGAATCATTAGCTAAATAAACCATTCTTCTTATAAGCTACCCAATCTGTGGTGTTCAGTTGTAGCAACAGAAAACAGATTAAGACATTCCCAAATCTCATTACCTACATGTACACAAAAATCCTTCTAGTTATTTCTACAACCGACTGATCTCGTCCATCATTTCTGTGTTCTTACATTCTGAGGCAGTCTTCTCTCACCTGTGTTAACGCCACTCCCGGTTTTGGTAGTTCTTTCTTTTTTGCAGCAAAAGTATTACGAAATCCAAAAAGTCAGAACCTAATGTAAGAGAATATCTTATGTTCTTTCATAGTATTTATTTGCCACTGTTGTCATCCTGGCCTATTTCTCCCCATGTTTCATATTTCTGAGGATATAATTTAAAACAAACTTCCTTTTGCTTCTTTTGGAATGACCACTTCCTCTTCTTGCACCTCCTCCTTCTTCCTCATGTTCCTTAGCCTCTTCATTGAAATCCTTACCGTCTTCAGTATCATCTGTCAGTGTGCTTGTAACCTTGAGAAGCCACTCTTAGTTGCATGCAGTGTTCTACTGGGCCTGTTAAGGATTCTGTGGGCCTTGTTCAGGCCTTCTTGTCTCAGCTGTTTGCAGTCAGCAGTGTGGTTTCCGTGGCACCACCAGATGTTAGAGCCTTGGAGAATAGTGCTTCATTACCAGGTGTATCTTAGCATAACACCTGGATTTTCTTATCAAGTTGCATGATATAGACCAGGACATAACACACCTCTGCCTGTCTGCCTGCCTTCCTTCCTTCCTTTTTTCCTTCTCTCTCTCTCCTTTTAAAAATCCTGTACACTTAAGGTGTATCACATGATGTTTTAATATACATATATGTGGTGAAGTTATTATTATAATGAAACAAATTAACATATCCATTATCTCATATAGTTACCTTTTATTTTTTGTGGGGGGAGGAGGTACCCGGGATTGAACCCAGGAGCACTTTACTGATATCATGTGGTATTTTGTTTTGTTGTGTCTGGCTTATTTTACTTAGCATTATGTCCCCTACGTTTATATCTATTGTCACAAATGTCAAGGTCTCCCTCCGTTTTTTTTTTTTTAAAGTCTGAATAATATTCCATTGTTCAGATGTTCCTTGACTTATGATGGGATCACATTCTGTTAAACCTATTGTAAGTTGAAAATATCATAACTGAAAATGTGCTTAACATTCCTAACCTACCAAACATCATATCCTTAGCAATACAGTATACTATTAATCATTGGTTTTTGATTCTTGAGACCTTGTAGCTGACTGAGAGCTGATTTTTTTTTGGCATAGCAAGAGAGTATCATGCTGCAGATTGCTAGCCTAGGAAAAGATCAAAATTCATTTTTTGGAGTGTGGTTTCTAATGAATGCATATTGATTTTACACATCATAAAGTAAAAAAAAAATATAAGTCAAGCCATTACAAATGGGGGACCATCTGTCTCTCTGTATGTGTATTTATATATGTCTCACAGATTTCTTTGCCTTTTTATCCATCAATGGACAACTTATGTTGTCTCCATGTGATGACCATTGTGAATAGTACTTCAGTGAATGTGGGGCACAGATGTCTTTATGAGTGGAGATTTCATCTCCTTTGGGTCTGTGCCCAGAGGAGGGATTATTGGGCCATGTGATAGTTATCTTTTTAGTTTTTTTAGGAACATCCATATTGTGTTTCACAAGGGCTGCACCTACAGTCCCACCAACAGTATGCGATGGTTCTTTTCTCTCTACACCCTCCCAACACTGACTGTCTCTTGTCTTCTTGAAAATACACATTCTAACGGTGTGATAGTTATGGTGGTTTGGATTTGTATTTCCATGATGCTTAGTGATGTTGAGCACCTTTACATATATTTGTTTCCCATATGTATGTCTTTAATTTTGGATCTAGATGAAGCCTTGTTTCTTCTCTGTATTTGGTTTATCAAATGGCCCAAATCCTTACTTTTCAATAGATTGAAGGAAACAAGGAAAAGAACCATAGCTATTGTGACTGTGAGTGCCGTAACGATGTGCCTGGATCCAATGCCACCCAGGAGTGTGTGTCTTGATAATAGTTTCCTCAAAGACTGTCAGGTCGAATATGCTTTTTCTGGGACTTGTGAAATAGACATCTTTAGAAACATGCAAATTCAAACACTCTTTCCTGATTAAGTGGCGAGTTTAATAAGAAAGTTGATAAAAGTACATAACTTTATATCTTCTCAACAGAGAGATGGAGACCTTCCAACTTCAAAGAAAAAACGCCAGTCAGGAGAGAAGATCATGTACACTTTGGTCTCAGTCCCACATGGAAACGACATTGCATCTCTTTTTGAACTGGATGCCACAACTCTTCAGAGAGCTGACTGCTTGGTTCCGAGGTAAAAAAAAAAAAAAGAATATATGGTTAAAAGATGTTTCTTTGAATAGTTTTAGGAGTAAGTAAGGAATGAAAATCATAGTGTTAATAGAATTTCTGTGATATCCAGAGCATAAGTGAAGAAAAAGTGTGTAAAATATCGTGCCTCTTTTGTGAGTAGATTAACATAGTTTATTTTATTCTTATAAATAATTAAAAGGTACAGGACCAATTGAGTTCTGAAAAATTCATAAGAATCATTTATTCCTATTACTTATATGGCCTTTGGTTACAAAAATGATAAATAATCTAAAAGCATTTCTAGGAATACTTTTATCATTTATTTTTATTATGTCAGGTTCCCCACTTCATTTGTTCATTTATTTAGTGATTCAGTCAACAATATTTAAGGAACATTGATTACATTCCAGGCATTGCCTTTGGCACTGAGAAGACAGCAGTGAGCAAACTGGTTATATACTGACATTCAAATGGAAGAGACAAGCAGTAAATAAACCAGCAAACACAAAATATAGGGTCAGGTAATGACAATACTTTGAAGAAAAATTGCAGAGTACAGAGAATTCTGTTAGATCAGAGTGTGCAGGAATGGCCCTTGAATCAAGGGATTGAGTCCACTCCATCTGGGAGGAGTGTTTCAAGCAGCAGGAAAAGGGAATGGAAGAATCTTGAAATTTACTAGGTGTTTTTAAGGACCAGTGAGGAGGCAAGTAGAGTTGGACCTAAGTGGGTTAGGGGGGAGGGCGATGGGAAATTAGGCAGTCAGAACCTAATGTAAGAGAATATCTTATGTTCTTTTGCTTGAATTTGACTATTTCAGTTGAGCTCTTTTGCCCACAACTCTCTTCCAACAGTAGCATCCTGATGCGCTTGTTGGAAACACTGAGTGCCGTCTACATTGTTGGGCCAGGGTGGGGTATCGCTCAGTTGGCCTTGATGGAGCAGTGTTATACTTAGGCCTTGGGTAGAGTTTAAGTGAATGAAGGTAACTATGCAAAGATGCAGGCGCTGTTGTATCAGTCCCTTTTGGGAAGGGTAAAATGTGGCTGTACTAATACTGCTGAGAAACATCACTGTGGAGTGTCCCAGGGTATGAGAATTCCATGGGATTCTCATTCATGAGGAATGTTGCTGAATCTTGACTTTATGTGAGTCCATCTCTCAGGCTTCCCTTTCTCCCATATAGTCTATAAAGAGATCCCCCATCAGGTCTGTCTCCTGCCTTGTCTTCCCAGAACTGGGATCTTAATTACTCCTTGGAATGACTTCACTCATTTTAGATTTTTCAGCAAAATTGGAGGGTTTTTTTTTTTTTGTGTGTGTGTGGGGGTACTTGGGAATGAACCCAAGGGTGTTTAACCACTGAACCACAATCCCAACTTTTTTTTTTTTAACAAAATATTTTATTTAGAGACAGAGTCTTGCTGAGTTGCTTAACCTTGCTAAGTTGCCAATGTTGGCTTTGAACTTGTGGTCCTCTTGCCTCAGCCTCTCAAGCTTCTGGGATTATAGGTGCATGCCACCAGGCTTGGCTTGAAAGTGGAGTCTTTCTTGAATGCCCATCAAGAGAATTTGTTCAAGGAAATGGTAAAGGATCTCACTGTTCAGATTACATCAAGGTCTTACTGACAATATATTTTTCTGGCATAGGTCCTAAAGAGGTACTCAGTTCCAAAATCCTCTCAAGATGTAAGTTAACAGGCTGGAGTATATTCTCTTTTATTTTGAACCCAGAAATAAGAGTTAACTCGGTAAGCACATACAGGTTGAGCATCCCTAATATGAAAATCCAAAATTTGAAATATTGCCCAAACAGATACTTTTTGAAAGCCAACATGATGCTACAGGTGGGAAATTTCACACCTGACCTCATATGATAGGTTTTAGTGAAAATACAGGTGCACCACAAATATTGTATAACATTACCTTCAGGCTATATATCTAAGGTATGTGTAAAACATCAATGAGTTTCATGTTTAAACTTGGGACACTCCCAAGGTACCCCATTGTGCTCATATTCCAAAATGGAAAAATCTAAAATATGAAACACTGTTGTTACAAGCATTTTGGATAAAGGGTACTCAACCTGTATTGAAGTAGTGCCAGGGTAAAATAGGGGAAAGAACCACAGAGATATATAAGCTATGATCCACTTTCCCGATGCTTAAAATGCAAAGGAAGACCACTGTATACAAATGATATCTCCTGTATAATTCAGTGCAGAAGATAAGTGGAAGACCAGAGACATTTCAGAAATTTTGGTTATTTAGATAAGAATTGGATGCTTATGCTGGGCCCAATGGTGCACCCTTGTAATCCCAGCTACTCAAGAGGCTCAGGCAGGAGGATCACAAGTTGGAGGCCAGTCTCAGCAGCTTAGCAAGATCTTGCCTCATGATAAATTCAAAGGACTGGGGAAGCAGCTCAGTGTAAAGCACCCCTGGGTTCAACCTTCAGAATTGGATACTTGTCATTTTAGATTTTTGCAACTCATTTTCTGTTTATTCTACTTGTGTGAATGTAGAACCATATTGTTGAATGAATCTCTTTCCCTGAGGTCACTGGTATTTTATTTATTTTCTCTTATTGGCCAAAATGTTTTACATCTTATGTTGTATGATATGTTTATGTTTAATCTTTATACTTAGGAACTCTAAGGCAGAAAACTTTATGGGCTTTTCTTTTAATTAGTCCTATACACATATTTTTAAAGGAAATAATGGTAATAAAAAATTCAATAAAAATGGTAATATTTGAGCTGGATGAAGGTCTAGGTGTGCTTTTCTGGGCACTTTCTCAATGGTTATATGCAGTGAATTTTTGTTAATCATGATTCATGGAATTAGCAAAATGAGCCGTTAGCAGAATGAACCATTGTTCATAGGGGAAGTATAGGGTTATGTTCTGTTAGTTTCTGGTCATTTTAATCAGTCAGTACATAAACTGGTTTTGTGTTCGTGCCTGTTTAAAGACACCTTATTGTCTATGTACTTTTGATTCATTAACATTGACCTCATGGAAACAGGACTATAACTCAGGCCTACATGAAGCTTATCTAGCACAAGAATTTTCTTCAGTCATATCACAGGAATGATTGATAGCACTTCTAGAATGGGGGCCATTTTAAACACCAAAATCTCCAATGAGAAGCATAGAAATGGAAAAAAAAATGTGGCACTAAGTAGACTGCAAAGGGAACATGTATTTACAGTAGAGCTGGAACAAGGAGGCCAAATGTCACCTTGCTGGACCTCAGCTTGGAAAGGTGCCTGTTGGATGACTCAAATGCTTTGTCACTCTGCACATGTCCTCAAATGACCACAAAAGCTCTATGATCTTGGGGTTACAGATAAATTTCAGTAAGTAGAATTTACAAGTACGGAATTCACAAATAACGGGGATCAACTGTACATACTTTCACATGCAGATGATTAAGCTACACAGGAGACAGCTGGCAGGAGCAGTTCTAATGGAGGTGGTTACTTGATCAGTGTTCCTTTAGTGTGCATCAAAATTGCCTGAGAAGCCTGTTGAACTACTCATTTTTTGGGGCCTTACCTCCAGAGTTTCTGATTTCATGGACTGGGGTAAGGTCTCAGAATTTACATTTTGGCTAATTTCCCTGGTGATGTTGATTCTGCTGATGTTGACACTTTGAGAGAACAACTGGCCTGGGTAATAATAGTATGCTTGCTTTGAAGTAGTCTAAATTCAGAATTTTTTCATAATCCAAATGTATCTTGATAGTCTAAGATATATTTATGTTCCTCTCATATATGAAACTGTTAAATATGTCAACATGTTATATGTTGACAAATATGCCACATTTGTTACAGTCTTGTCTTTTACATTGTTTTCTTTTAGGAACTCATATGTTCGATTAAGACATTTATGCACCAACACATGGGTAACCAGTACTAGTATTCCTATAGACACAGATGAAGAACGACCTGTTATGTTGAAGGTAAATATTGCCAAGAATGGTTTAATTTTTTGTCAAATGTTGTGTTTGTAGGATTTAGGGGGTTTCTGACATGTTCCTTAGAATCCACCTTCATCAACATTAGAGATTATTGTAATTCATTTCATTGAGTTCTTATATCTGCCACTTGCTGAGGTAGCAGAACCATACGGGTTGGGCTGCAGCAGGACTGTCAGTCAGGAGGCCGTAGTATAGATTCCAAAAAGAATGGGAACAATATTTGGGAAGAGGGTATGATTTCAGGATTGCCTCTTCTGTGCTCTGTTGGAAGTGAAGCAAAGGACAATGTGAAAGGGACAATGTTTTTGGTACCGCATCCCTGCCTTCTTTCCCAGAGAGTGATGCATGTGGGAGTTACTGTGTTTGGATTATCTATTCTTGCCTTATATTTCTTAAACAGTACTGATACATGTTAGTCTTTGAAGAATATTGCATGGTTATTTAGCAGAACTAATCTTAATGGAAAAACACATTCCAGATTGGAACCTGCCAAACAAAAGAGGATAAAGAAGCATTTGCCATTGTGTCTGTCCCACTGTCTGAGGTCCGAGACTTAGACTTTGCTAATGATGCAAACAAAGTGCTAGCAACCACGGTTAAAAAGCTGGAAAATGGCACCATAACTCAGAATGAAAGGAGGTTAGTAACTTTTAAAATGGCTTTTAATCATCAGGAATTAATTGTCAATTATTGCTGTATACCTTCAGTGAATGAGTGACTCTAGGGAATAATAGAATATTCTTGGTAGTAGCACAATTCCTTCTGAATGAGGTGAGGACTTAATTTCTCTTGATCATAATGAGTGATTGAAAAGTAGTGATTTAAAATCTGATGGAGTATTTGCTTTTTCCATGCCTTGAAAATAGTTGTTTGTAGTTATTCTTTTTTTTATAATTTTTTTTTCAGTTGATGAAGACCTTTTATTTTATTCATTTATTTATATGCAGTGCTGAGAATCAAACCCAGTGCCTCACACATGTGAGGCAAGCGCTCTACTACTGAGCCACAATCCCAGCCCTGTAGATATTATCTTTTCTTTTAAAGGCTTCATGATACCATTTGCTACACTTGATTTGATATTTGGTCTTAGAGTTTAATGTCCTAAAGGAAGTTTTATGTTTTTCTGGTCATTTTTAATTCATGACACATTTCTCAGCTCTAGTATTTCAAAATGAAAAAAAAAATGGAGTACTAGAAAAAAATCTGCAAGGCATAGCTTTTTGCCCTTTTAACTCATTCAGAGAAACTGGATCCTTGGTTCTCAAACTGATTTTGGAAATAAGTGAGAGAGAGGATGAAAATGATAGCTAGAAATTATTGCATCTCCACTTTGCAACAGGTACTATGTTAGGCATCACACATGTATTTTATTTGATCCTTCAAATGGTCCTGAGGTAGATATTCTCATTAAATATAAAGGAGAATCGAGAGAGTGAGCAACTTGTGTAAGGTCACATAAGTAATAAGTGGGGGCTTCAAATACATGTAGTTTAAAGTCTGTGTGCTTTTCAGCACATCTGAGCACAAATGTCCTATTTTTCCCTCTTAATGATTTGCAACTTATCTTTTAATTTGAACAAGATAAAGGTGTTTACCAAGCCAAGGCATTCATGCATTAGAACTCTCAGACACAGCTGGTGAGATGATAACTGAGATAAGCACCTTGCAGAAACTAGTTAAGTTAAAGAAGTAAACATCCTGTGGCTTGCCAGTTTCACTCTTGGCTGAATATTCTTGAACATCTGTCCAAAAGGATCTCCTCCATATGTGCCACAGAACACATGCTCAGGAATGTCCAGCCTTGTTCTAAATACTCCTAGACTGAACTCTGTCCACATATCCATCACCCATTACATAGATGATTAAAGTCATGATATATTCATACACTGGAATACGGTATAGCTGTGAAAATTAAAGAACTACGTCTGTGTGCAATGCTGTGAATAAATCTACCAAACTTTTTAGATTGAGTGAAAATGAGTTACAACAAATGCATTCGCTGTTACACTATTTGTAAGTTAAAAAACAAGCTAAATAAATGCAACTTCTTGAGGGGTGTTTTGGCAATTGGAAGGCCTATAAAGACGTTCAAGAAAATCATCGTCACAAAATTCAGTTGGTGTTTCCTCTATGAGGGGAGGCAGGAGTTGACTGGTGAGGGAAGGAAGCAACTGTAATTGTCTGTTGCTTGCTCTGGGTGGTGGTGTCATGGGGCTCACATTGTAAGTATCCCTTAACTAAACATATATGTTTTAGAGACTTTTAGGTATGTATCTTATAATACAAAGGAATGAAACACTAACTTGCTTCCCCCTGTCCGGCTCCTGTTGATAAAAAAAAATCATAAATATGCAAACAAATGAAATAGCTGGTTCTCGGCTTTCTCTGTTCTTTCCTCTGCTTTTCCCCTGACAGACCTGCATTGGAAAACAACTGTCGTGTATTCAATTATATCTCTAACCCTGTTGGAGGAAATAAATAAAGGCCAGAAGCTGAAGCAACTGCCCCACTTTTAATGGAAAACAGATAATTAAATACCAGAGCTCAATTATGACAGGAAATGGGTTCGAATGTGCAGATAGGAATTTTTATTTGCCTGAGATTTATCTAATTTCATTTGATGAATCCATTTCTGTCTCTGTCCCTTTCACATATGCATAGAAATTTACTAAGCCCCTCTTACGATTCTAAGCATGAAGGTATTCACTGAAGAGAAGGACAAATAAAGATTCCCATTATGAGTGCTCCACCATCACTGGATGCCACCTGGCTCAAGTTGCTCTTTCTCCAGTTACTGATGGAGGGGACCTTCTCACGAGATGTGTCCAAGGAAGGTGGTGGTCTAGTAGTGAGCAGAGATCATGCATTTTATTTCCTCTGCTTCTTTTATCACTGTTTTTAGAGTGAAAAAAAATAGCAAAGAGAAGACTTTGCCTGAGAAATATGAAGTTGCACTTATTGATCTTAATTTAGTAATCTTAGAAAAGCCATTTCCCATCAAAATGCATTCAAAGCTGCCTGTCAGCATAGTAGAGTTTATTGGCATAGTTGAATGCATCTATATTATTTTCTTAGTTTTGGAATTCAATATAAAATTCTTTCTGAAAATAACTGACAACCCTGACTTTTTCCCCCTATGGAGAATGAAGTTATTATTAGATGTTCTTTTTACTCAAAACCAGGAAGATGATACAAGGTCAAAGGGAAGGTGTGAGAATATTGCAGGTCTGTCTCAAAATGCCTGTGGTGTTGGAATTCTCTCTTTCTCCCTTGTAACCCTCCTTTTACTCATCCCAGAAAAGGACTCTGGAGGCACAGCTGCTGTGTTGTGCTCCAAGATGCTCAACCTTAGATAATTTTCAGTTGGATTTTCTGCTTGCATTTTACATATTTTCGTTGCACCAACGAAATAGAGGTATTGGGAACATGTTGAAGGGGAGAGAAAGGAAATATGAAAGACTGTTGACTGCTGCGCAGACCTTGAGGAGGTGACACGTGCACTCCTTAACCAGAATTTCTGTAGTGCATTGCACATCTTAGGGAGCATGTTTTACCTGCATAGGGTTTGTATGTAGCATCCACTGTTTACAGATGTAATTAATTCAGAATTATGTCAGACATTTCTTCATGCATGCATGTGTGGTGCTAATAAATGCTGAAGATCTTAGATTGTATGTATCTCCACGCAACTTATAGACTTGGAGTCTGGCTCTTATTCCACTTGATGAAGCTCAGGATCTAGAGAGATCATCCAACAGAGGATCGCCAGGTCAGATGTCTCTGAGGTTGCTTTCCACAGTACCATCATTTTTCACCAAATGTTATCTGCCTGATATTACTATTGCAACACCAGCTATCTTTTCTTTAATATTTACCTGATGCCTCTTTTTCAGTGTCCCTTGATTGCAGATTTCCTGGTCATTTTGTTTTAGTTATGTGTCTTGTGAGCAGCAGAGACCTTGAGTTTTAAAAACTTAATTGAATAGTCTATTTTATTTTGCAAGTTTAATTACTTTGCATGTAATAAATAATGTCTTTGGGCTTATTCGTATTTTTTTTTACTTAGGGTAGCTTTTCTTTTCCTTCCACTTCCTTTTTGCTTCCTGTTCAATGGATGAAGGTTATCTCTCCCTTCCCTTCCCCATCTTATCTTTTCCTCTACTGATTCAGAAGCTTGAGGTTGTACTTCTGTTTTTTTTGGCAAGTGCTCTGAAATTCTTTTTTCTAAATAACTATTTATTTTTATGGGGTGCTGAGGATTGAACCCAGTGTCTCACATGTGCTAGGCAAGTGCTCTACCACTGAACCATAATCTCAGCCTTGAAATTCTTTTCTTTCCATTAAAATTTTTTTTAGTTGTAAATGGACACAATATCGTTTATGTATTTATTTTTATATGATGCTGGGGATCGAACCCTGTGCCTCACACCCATGAGACTAGCACTCTACCACTGAGCTATAGCCCTAGCCCCAAAATTCTTAATTATACATTTTCTTATATATTCTTTCTTATAAAGCTTGAAGTTATTAATACTTTTTTCTTCTTCTCATGGGAGAAAGTGCCTCAGCACTGCTTTGCTTATGCACTGATAGTCTCCCTCCCATCATTCACGAAGCATATGCCTAGAACCACAGTTCTGTGTTTATTCATTTGTAGTTTTATTTTTTATTTGATACACACAAAAGAACAAATGTGTCATATAAATTTTGATGTAAGATCCTTTTTTGGGGGGGTACCAGGGATTGAACTCAGGGGCACTCAACTACTGAGCACATCCCCAGCCCTATTTTATATTTTATTTAGAAACAGGGTCTCACTGAGTTGCTTAGTGTCTCACTTTTGCTGAGGCTGGCTTTGAACTCACGATCCTCCTGCCTCAGCCTCCTAAGCCGCTGGGATTACAGGCCTGCACCACTGCACCCCCTGAACCATCTTTTTTACTGAGAAATTTAATTTCTAAAAGTTGTTTTCCAGTGATTAATTATCTCTCTCTGCTTGTTTTTAATTCTTGCATCTCACTTCTCTCTGGGCTCACTTTTCTTCAGTCCATTCAATAGAGCTCTGTTGGGTTATAATCTTTAGTCTTCACATATATAAAAATGTCTAAAATGTTTTTATATTGCCTCTACTCTTTTTTTCCCCTCTTTCTCTCCCTCCCTCCCTCTCTCTTTCTTTCCTCCTGGGCATGGAACCTAGGGTTTCACATATACCAAGCAGGCGTTATGCCTCTGAACTACGCTCCCAGCCCCAAGTTTTGCCTCTACTCTTAAGTGACAATTTGTGTATGAAATGTTAGAGTGACAACTATTTTCTTATAGTATTTTTAGCTATAGTTTAATGATTTTCTGGAATCTTTTGTTGCTCTTAGGAAATATGCTGTCAATTGTTATCTTTGTTGTCTTTTTATCTTTATTGGTAATTTTTCTTTACTGTCTGGTAATTTTGTAGATTTTCTTCTCTGTCCTCAATGTCCTAATGTCTTGCTATGTTCTCAAGGGGATGTTTTATTTCTGTTCTTCCCCCTGGACAGTTACTTTAATCCGAATACGTATGTCTTCCTTTAATGTTAAGTTTTTCATCCACTTTCCTTCAAATATCGATTCTTTCCATTTTTCTCTTTTCTGTCAAAACACCTATTAAATACATATGGGCTCCTCTTAATCATCTTCCTCAACTCCTAATTTAATCTTTTATAATTGCCTTTTTAAGTCTCTCTATTCTATTTATATTCATTTTTGATACTATCTTACAGTCACTAACTGTTCTTAGAATATGTGCAGAATAGTTTATCTTCATCAATTAGACTTTTACTTAAGTGATTTAAATTGTGATTTTTTAGATTTCTATAGGTTCTTTGCACATATGCCCATTCTTCATTCATACCAGCATTTTAAAATGTTATATAGTTTTGGTAGATACCTACTTTCTTTATCCATTGGAGGACCAAAAAAATAATACTTATTTAAAAGTTATTTTGAAATTGTTCTGTTACTTGATTTTATTGGTAATGAATTGGTCTCCTGATTCTTTATTGTGATATTCGTCTTTCTTAATCGGTTTCTTTCATGTGCTTTGGAATTTCACTCTTTAGTCTCTTTTCAGGTGGGAGGTTTTTGCTTTTCCTCCCTATGTTCATTCATTTTCTCTATTAGCTTTGGATTTTGTCTCCCTGATCCCACTAGCCCAGAGCTGGGTCTGGCATTGAGTGCTGAGATTTCAGGTCCTCTGGTGATGAGTGGTCATCCTGATCACAAGTGGCTAGCCCCAGTCCTATCATGTGCTTTCTGTTCCCTTCCACTACCAGAGCCTAGAGGGACCACTGGATTTGGGGGGATATTTGAAGAGGTAGAGAACCCCAACTTTATTCCCTGCTTTTATGTCTTTAGTGTCATCTCTACCATGTGCTTTCAGTTCTGGCTACCTTGTGAGGGTTGAATGTTAGCCATGCTCTTCACTGTGTTATTCTTATTTGATTTCTGATCCATGAAACTTCTTATTAATGTCTTCAGATGTGCTGTGTCATATATATATATATACACACACAAATGTATATATATACACACATGTGCACATACACATATACACACAACACACATATACATTACATGCTTATGTACATCATTATTGCTATACCTGACAGTCACACAGAAAAAGTTTTCTTCTAAATTTTTTTTTTTAGTTGTAGATGGACACAATATCTTTATTTATTTATTTTTATGTGGTGCTGAGGATTGAACCCAGTGCCTCACACGTGCGAGGCAGGTGCTGTACCACTGAGCTATAGCCCCAGCCCCAGAAAAAGTTTTTAATAAACAAAAATTAGTATAATTACATGAGTTAGAAAGGTGTAACCACCCAATACAGAACTGGAGTGTGAAAAGCAAACCAGTTTTTTTTTTTGGCCATAGATGGGATGCTTGAGATGAAATATTAAAAAACACAAAACCAAAAACCAAACCAAACGAAAACCAAATATTCATATTTTCTGGCCTCCCTCGCTCCCTCGTTAGGGAGGGCTCTGCAGCTTGGGCTTGTGTGCAGTGATCTTCAGTCAGGACTTAATTTTCTTCATCATCAATCCATTAACCATTGGGAGGTTTCATGACATTTAGAAGACTTTGAGGCTTTCTTAGTTATCTAAATATCTAATTAGAGAAATAGAAAGAGAAAATGAATATTGGTAGTTTTAAAAAGAAAATAAATGCAAGTATTTATGGTCCAGCTGGACTTATATTGAGCAGATTGCAACCTAGGTTTAACTAATCTCAGTTTGCTGAAGTAACCTGAGCTTAAAAAAAAAAATGTTTTCTGTTTTAAGAAGAACTGAATGACTTGGAAGACATTAAGTCATAATTCAAAAGAAGTTCACACCATATTTAATGCACATGTGTTTTTTTATTTCTGTGGTTGCCTTCTGAGATGTCAGTGAATCCTATCAGCTAGACACATTTTCCAAAGAACTGAGTTAAAATTTAAAACAGGAACACTAAGGAGGCATAGGATCTTTGGAGATGGGATCAGGATGTTTCCTGACTAAATATATTCTAACAGTTCTGTAATAGTTGAGACACTTGTAGTTTTATTATTAATATGATCATGATGTATCATACTAATGCTGGGGAATGATTATGTTACCAGTACATGGAGGATGCTAATTTAAATATTTTTTTGTTTTACTATAAAAATCATGTCTATAAACGAAATAACAAGTTTATTTCATCATTAATAACTTTGAAAATCTCTTTTAAAAATACAGAGTTCAAATAAGTTTACCAGTGTTTGTAATAATATGAAGCCTGGCTGCCTCCATCTACCTACCAACATAAAAAATTACAAAGAACAGGCAGAGGAAGGAGGGAGCAAAAAGTTAAGTAAGGAGGAATTTTCAAAACACTTCAGGGACTAAATGCCACTGAAGTTCAAGTAATAGTTATAATAATAACAGTAACCAAAATATCAAGTTACAAGTGAACATTGGTGTTTGGTTTTAGAATACTATGGTTTTTATAGAACAGTTGATACTTTCACAACAGTGTCTAATTGCCTACTTGGTTTCTTTTCACAGATTGTTTAAATTTTTCTCCTCCTCCTCCTCCTCCTCCTCCGAGGGTTGAATCCAGGGATGCTTAACCACTGAGCCACATGCCCAGCCTTTTAAAATATTTTCTTTAGAGACAGTGTCTGCCTGAGTTGCTAAGTGTCTCACTATGTTGCTGAGGCTGGCTTTGAACTCACAAACCTCCTGCTTCAATGTCCCAAGCCACTGGGGTTACAGTCATGCACCACTGCGCCCAGCATTTGTTCTGTACATTAGAATAAATTGAAACGCAGTAGCTTGAGTGAATAGTAAAAATAAAGTTTGAATTTAGTAATTTAGAGGGATAGCCATTTTCTCTGAAATGGAAAAAACTCTACTTTGCTGATCATGGAAAAGAATCTGGTGGTCTTATCTTACCAGCTCATCTGTTGTCGAGGCACCTGGGACTGTATTTCACAAAAGCCTGCAAATACTCAATTAGACCTAGAGGCAGAGAGGCTGTCGTAGGAACTGGAGAAGGAATATTATTATAAAAGTTAAGGTAAACAGTAACTGCATTAGATATTATCTTTTATTTATTAAAGATTTGTATTATCAATACTTTGTTTTCCATTGTTTCAGTTCTTACATTTAATAAAAAGAAAATCCAAAATTAAGCCACAGAGTGAAATTTCCTTTTCATTTTATGATAGGTTTGTGACCAAATTATTGGAAGACCTCATCTTTTTTGTTGCTGATGTGCCTAATAATGGACAAGAAGTTCTGGATGTGGTTATCACCAAGCCGAACCGAGAACGTCAGAAACTAATGAGGGAACAAAACATATTGGCACAGGTGAATCTTGTTATGAAGCTAAATTTGCCTATTTTGTTTTTTAAATTATGGTATCAGGAAAGTCCTTGTATGAATTATCGATTGCTGTGTTATGAATGACCCCTAGACAGACACTTACTGAAGTTTCTGTGGATTAAAACTCTAGGAGCAGTTTAGGTGGGTGTTCTTGCTGAGGGTCTTTCAGAGTTAGTCAAGGAGTTGAGTGGAGCTGCCATCATCTCAAGGTTGAGAGGAGACAGGAGAGAAGATGCACTTCCCAGCTTGCTCACTTGGGCCTCTCCCAGTGGAGTCTCCAGGGAGAGGAGGCAACTTGCTTCCCTTAGAAGTGACTGATCCAAGGGGCTGAAATATTAAGGGGATGTGGCTCAAGTGGTAGCATTCTCACCTAGGATGTGTGAGGCACTGGGTTCGATTCTCAGCACCACATAAAAATAAAGATATTGTGTCCACCTAAAACTAAAAAATATTTAAAAAAAAGAAGTGACGGATCCAAGAGGAAACAAGACACGACCCCCAGATAGGAGCCACAGCCCTTTTATGATCTTATCTTAGACATAACATGTTATCCATTTTTGCTGTATTTAGTTAGAAGAAAGTTAATAAATTCAGCCCATAGTCAAAGGAGAAGATTCCATAGGATGTGATTATGAAGAGGCAAGGATCATCTGGGATGGTCTCAGAAGCAGCCTACCAAAGATCTCCAAAAAACCTTTGTGGTCAGATTCTCCAGAAACTGCTGGCAAAAATCTCTAGGTAGAATTTCTAGATGAACTTGGAAAATGCCATTTCCATCCTCTTCCTACTTCTTCTCTTATCTTCTCTAGGAACACTGGTTCATAAGTACACCATACAATATTCTGATTTTTTTTCCCTGAGAATTTAGAGCTGCTCCTTTATTGTATCTTCCTGAAATTATTTATAATACACCAGTGAATCAGTTCATTTCCTGATAATATGCACATCTGGACATGTCCTTCTTTATATGTTATTTTTTTTCCTTGTTATTTGCTACTTAAAGTAATGGGCTTTTGTGTGAATTACATATGGACTCAAGGAAGATACTTAAAACATAACTAACAATTATGTTAGTAATATACATGTTCTTGTTGATTTGAGAAAGGAAAATAGTAGACACAGTATATAGTATATATAGTCAATATTTTTCTCAAATAATGTGTTATAAATCTAATTGGAGCAAAGCATTTTCTGACATCAGCAATGCTTTTATACAAAACATTTGATTTCAAAGACGTTTGGGACCTGGTATGGATTTATTAATATTTTAACCAACATATTTTTAATTTCAATCAGATTTTTAATTTCAGTGTTATAAATATAACATGCAAAGTTTAGTAAATACACAATTATTGAAGAAATGCTATCACATTTCATGGGCTCCACATGAGAATTTCTTTCCATTTTGCTTCTTATGTTAATGCTCATTCCCTTGACTACCTGCTCTTTCCTAGTGGTTTACTCATCCTACCAGCTAGTCTCCAGGTGAGCCTACCTGCTGTCTTACTCAAAGCAAATTTTATCCTCAATGCTTTCCAATACTTTCTAACTGCTAACTTTCTTACAAACATCTGGCTCACTGGGTCCCATCAGCTGCCCATGTAGGTCCTTATTTATTATATTTTAATTCTGATATATTCACTGACTTGGTCACATCTTTGTATACCATGAACAGTGAATTTACTCTTTTAGAAAGAGTTATATTTGGGTGCTCTGGTATTTAGTGCATATATATTTAGGATTGCTATTTCCTCTTTCTGAATTGACCCTAGGAAGATGTAAAAGTTATATTTGGAAGCAATTTTCTGATGTAAGTTTCAGATAAAAAATAAATGGTTTCTTTATATTATTTTGATTTGGGGAAGTTATAGAAAATAGTAGGAAAATACCCAAAAGCATACAGAAATTATATTTAGTTCATCTAAACATGCAGCTTGGTACAGCTGAACATCTTTCTATTTCCCAATTTAAAAACATATTATTTCTAAATAAAATTTAGCATTTTATCTAAACAATATTTTTGTCATTCAATTTAGGAATTTAGCATTGATTTTCTGTTCCTTGAACATTCTAGTCCTGTGTCCTAAGTAGTTTCACCCCTTTACATTAATTCAACTCAAATGTTACAAAAGTGTTTTGAGCCAATGTTCTTATTTGTAAAAAAAAAAAAAAATGATCATAAAGCATGTTTATTAGAATATGCGATTTTTTTTATTCCCGATAGGTATTTGGGATTCTTAAAGCACCCTTTAAAGAGAAAGCAGGAGAAGGCCCTATGTTGAGGCTCGAAGACCTTGGGGACCAAAGATATGCTCCCTACAAGTACATGCTGCGGCTCTGTTACCGCGTCCTCAGGCATTCGCAGCAGGACTACCGGAAAAATCAGGTGAGAGGTGGCCCCCATTCTTAATTCTGTTTCACATATGAAGTGTGAGCAGGGTTCTTTTCATTGCTGTGTAAAGTGTAAGAAAGTAGGAATTAGGACTTTCACTTTGCAATGAAGTGTTTTATATTGGCAGCACAAAAATGATCTGTAAGTATTTTTGAGCCAACGTAGTTATTTATTCCTCCGTATAAAATCAGAATCCTTGCTTGAGTGAGAATATCCTGAGTTCTTATGTGAACGTATTAACTTCTGGGCAGGAGGGGTACTGGGTCTATTATGTAAAGAGGAATGGAACACTTCTTGGCTTGAGGAACTTGCAAGGTACAGCCTCAACATCTGTGGCCAAGGAGTTTGTTTTCTAGTGGAAAACATGTGGCATGTGCATCTGAAGCGTAAGGGGGAGGCAGAGGGGAGCAGAGACAGAAGACAAGGATGGAAATTCTCAAGAGGGGGAGCACAGTTGTGGCTGGGGAACCCAGGACAGATTCCTGGAGAAGAAAGCATTTGAGTAGGATGAGAATCATTCTCATAAATTGGATGGGAAAAGCGATTTTAGGAACAGAGACCTCTGAAGAGAGAATGATGGATGCTAGAAAGGGTACTTCATCCCTGAGATATTTGCAGCTGAGGAGGACAGGGAAGCCACGTGGGATGCAGCTAAAAGTTGTTGGCTCCTAATGAAATTTCTTTCAGGTCTCGTTTTATGTTAAAAGTACATAATATTTTGCATTGTGTTCAATAATGTGAATGTTTAACATAAAATTGTTTAAAATTAATTATCATTTGGAAAATTAGTTTCCATGTTTCCCTTAACCAGGTTGGCAGAATACACTGCCATAAGTTTTGCTGAGGAGGTTATTCCATGAGGAATGGTGTGGGAGAAGGCTGGGGGAGGGCCTAAGCACCCCACAGCCTGTGGTGTCAGTCCTGCAGGGTGGAGGTTGTTAGGAACATTTAGTAGTATTTTAGAGTGCTCACTTTGCCTTAGGCTTAGTTGTGAGCAATTTTCACAGAATAACTCAGGTTAGTTGATACTAAGATGAGGAATTGAGAAACAGAGAGGTTAAATAACTTGCCTAAAGTTGGAGGTTGTTCTTTTTCTTTCTTTACAGTATTGGGGATTGAATCCAGGGCCTCATGCATCTTAGGCAAGTGCTCCACCACTGAGCTCTCCACTCAGGACTATGGTTATCGCTCCATCATTGTGTTATTGCCTCTGGGTAGTTTGAAAGTGTTTTGGCAAAAAAGAATACACACATACACACACACACACACACACACACACACACACATATATATGGAAGGATGTGTTAAATAAAAATATGTTGGCTTTGGATTTCTGTTCAAAGATTAATAAAGATCCAAAAATATGTAAAACAGATCAGCCAGGAGATAAATAATATGGGAAAGAATGGAAGCAAGGGAACAATGTACACAAATCCTTAAATATTTTCAAATGTAACCCCAGAAATAAGCATCTTTCTTCCCAGTGGTAAATGTTATTTCTGGAATTAGGCCTGCAACTTCACTACATTCCTTTAAGATGGCAAGATAAAAGTGGATAGAGTTGTTCATGTTTCATTGGAGGAAAACTCAAGATCCAGAATGTTAAATGACAGACCTTGGGCTGGGCCTATAACTCAGCAGCAGAGTGCTTGCCTAGCATGTGTGAGGTACTGTGTTTGATCCTCAGCACCACACAAAAATAAAACAAATAAAATAAAGGCATTCTGTCCATATACAGCTACAAAAAGAAAAAAAAAATGACAGACATTCAGGCATTTGGAGAATCTGCATTGGAGGTGCGTCCTCTTGTGAGAGTCTAAAGTCTTCAGAGGGGGTCTGGAATGAGGCTACCCAGCATATTTTACTTGTCTTTAGTTTTCTTCTTGCGTCTGAAAAAACAGAGTAATCCCTTCTTATCCACAATTTCATTTTCTCTTCTTTCCATTACCCATGGTCAACTTTGGTTCAAAAATATTAATTGCTAGATTCTAGAAGTAATTCTAGAAATATAGACATTACTCAGCTGGCTGCTCAATACATAGATCTATCATCTTAAATCACATTTATTATAATATCTTGTTGTGAATATTCTATGTTATTCATTATTATTAATATGTTACTATGCCTGATTTATAAATTAAACTTTTATCATAGGTGTGTATGCATAGGAAAAACAGTTTAAGTCGGGTCTGGTACTGTCCATGTTGCAGGCATCCACTGTGGGTCATGGAATGTGTCCCTTGGGGAAAAGGGGAGATTACTGTGCTTTGCTAGATAGGCCACCATGCCACCCATACAAGTAGTGCTGGATCATTAGAGAATGAAATTAACAGAAAGAGTTCACAGGTCTGCAGCGTCCCTGGGGCCCTCAGTCCCATAAGGTCAGGATGTGTGCCATCCTTGAATGTGCTTAGCCTTTGGAAGGCTGCTGACGATCCCTCCTCCTGTTCTCCATCCCTGCCCTGGGCTTCAGTGCTGCTCCCTGTGGTAGGTTCCCAGGCAGCACATCTTAGTTGGTGTCCTTTCTCTGGCATGGCATGTTCAGGTTTTCTCACTCCCTTAGTCTTAACTGCACCCAGGCTCCTTGTGGTGTGTGCAGTTTCACTCTGAAAATGTCCTCTGATGAACAAACTCTGCAAGGGCCACATAGACACGTGTGCACACACCTCTGCCTAATCACATGATTCATCCCAGGTAAATGCTGACATGCTCTGGGGACCTGGCCTGGGTTTCTGTGCATACGTGGCTGTGGGTCAGCTTTTCCTTCCTCTCCTCTCCCCAAATTTTAGATCATTGAGCTGAGGAAGGAACGAAGAAGTCCGTGTTCGTTGAGGGTTGGATTTTATCTTCCCTCACCTCTTCCTGTGTGCTCCAGTGGAAACTCAGTGGTTGTTGAAAAACCTTTTTATCACTTCTTTTTGAATTAAGAATGATTTATAATAAGCATAAAATAGCTGATGGTTTTAAGAACAAGGTTTTTTTAAATGTAGGCGAAAGGCCTACTTTTTTGCATAATTACCTCATTTTCCCATATCATCACCTGTACTTTACAGTCTAACAGAGTTGACTCATGACTTAGTGCTCACCCTGGTCTTTAATGGTGTGTCTTTGTTTGTTATTATTTATAGAATTTGATAACCCTGTAATTTCATTTAATTATTTACCAACTTCTTGGAAGTTTGCCCGATATCAGAGTATGACTACAATGGTCATAAAAGTGTGTAAATCAATACATATCTTTAAGATGATACACCAACAGAAGACATTTACTTTACTTAATTGGCTACCAATATACAAAGTCATCATTTTGAAAGACCACAAAAATGCTGCCTAGAACATAATTAGATTTGTGCAAACCAATACCATTTTCAAGGAATAGATACATTCCAGTAAATTTTGCCTGAGGCAAAGCCACTTTCTAATCAATACATTCTCCCATCTTAGAAACAGAGATGCCTTCCCAAGGAGAATACCCAGGAACTGGAAAACATTTGATTGTAGAAGGTTTCAGCTCACTAGTTCTCTTGTTATGTGAGATGTGTTGCTTATACACACAATGTTAAAAATGAGCAATAGTGAGTGGGAGTATAGGAGAGTTAGTGTGAAGAGTAAGGAGCAGAGTAAGTAAAGTTTCATTGAAACTCCTGTGGCTTTCTCTTGTTCTTAGTTTTTGCTCTTTACCATAACTCACAAGGACTCTTTTTTTGACTTACCTCTCCAACTCCAGCTCTTGCTTTCTGCTGCTTACTTCCCTTTCACTACCATGGCCATTTCTTCTTTGTAGAACACAAGAAGTTTAGTTCCACTACCACAGGGCCTTTGCACTTGCTTCTTTCACTGCCTAGAAGGCTTCTCTTCAGGTCTTCCCCTGGCTGCCTCCTTTTGATCATTCCCATCCTTGTGCCCATGTCCTTTCTTTGGCATCTCCCATCTAAAGTCACCACTTTTCTCCATCCTTCTATTTTTTTTTTTTTTGCATTTCACTTATCAACATGTGAAATGAGAGTATATTTGTTTGCTCACAGGGATGAAAGCTTCATGATGGCTTATCTGTCTTGTTTACAGCCATACCTCTAGTCTCCCAATCAGTGCCCGGAATGTTTGAGGCCTCTAAGAAATTTTTACTGAATGAATGGATCTGATTAGCAACATGGTTGATTACATTATCTTATTTGGTTGCACTGTGTGTGTGTGTGTGTGTGTGTGTGTGTGTGTGTGTGGGGTACTAGGGATTGAACCCAGGGCCCCATGCATGCCAGGCAAGCATTCTACCACGGAGCTACATCCCCAACCCAGTTTACATTTTAATGATAAGAAGTCACTAAGTTTTTACAATTATTTTGAAGAAAAGATCTTATAGATCATTGTAGTTTATATACAAGAAAGAAATCAACCCAGATCCATCTAGAGTCTTCAGGTAGATGCATAGATCTCATGTCTCATGAATGAGATATCAGATAGTTATTTTCTTTTTCATCATCTTGCCAAAATCATTGGTCATGGCTTTTGGGGAGACTCAGAGAAAGAGCCTCTGTTAGGCGGATGACATCCTAAGTTACCAAGTTGTAAAGATTTGTTATTTTAATTATATTTATTTTTGGTTTTCTCACAAGAGCTTAAGCATACATATTAAAAATTATTTTAGCAATGTATTTTTTTGTCATAATTTAAATTATATGTATACTGATATGTTTTAATTGCCTTCCTCAAAAAGCTCTACTTTTTAAAGAAATATTTACTTGCTTCTCTTTTGACAAAATTTTTAGAGAGTTTTCTGCTGTGAATAAGTTAACCGTGTTGCTAGCCCTGTGAGGACCTTGATTTCTGAGCTGTTTGGCGGCACATTCTGACAGTCTTTCCTCTTTGCAGGAGTATATTGCTAAGAATTTCTGTGTCATGCAGTCCCAGATTGGCTATGATATTTTGGCAGAAGATACTATCACAGCTTTGTTGCACAACAACAGAAAACTACTAGAGAAACATATCACAGCAAAAGAAATAGAAACATTTGTCAGCTTACTCAGGAGGAACCGGGAGCCAAGGTTTGAAGTGGTTTATGTAGTGTTCTTTCTTTTCTAGTGGGGACTGGGGCTTTTGGTTTTATTTTTAGAAATTTTAAAAGTTAGAATTCTTTGGTAGCACTAACTTTCCTGGACAAATTCTGTTGGGTTTATTGCTATACAGTTATTTCTTTGTTAGAGATCAAAACCCTTTGAAAACCGATATTTGTTTATTTTTACCCTGCTGGGACTTGAACCCAGGGCCTTGCACATGTTGGCCAATGCTCGGTCACTGAGTTACATCCCAGAACTAGGCTTATAATTTAATGTACTTAATTTCCCTTCTGATAACTTATATATAGCTTTCAAAATATATTCATATACACCATCTCATTTAAAATCTTGCACATTCTCATGAAGAATACTGGTTATTTTTTATTATCCACATTTTATTTTTTTGTGTGTGTGTTGAGAATTAAATACAGAGCTTTGCTTATCCAGTGCACATACTCTACCACTGAGCTATATTATTCACATTTTTGAAATGAGAAAACAGAACAGTATGCCCAAGAATGCCCTGATAGGAATAGAATATGAAGTAAAAGTAAATCTGGGGATTCTGGTTCTGCTTTGATTTCACCATACTGCTTTATCTGAGGGAAATGAACATTGGCAATGTTTTCTTAACTAAGTAGTATAGCAAATAAATACTAGAAAGTAGAACTGGTCCTCTCTCTGGGCCAGGCCATGGTCACTTTCATGAAGCATGTGCTATGTCCTGTTTTACTCAGTACAGCCATTAGCTTTGATCTGCTTTTGTTCTGAGGTCAATCTCGGGGACTGTCACTTTAAGGCAGATAAATGATTTTATAAACATAAGTCACCATGCTGAGGAAAGAACGTCACCAAATAAACAGAAGTAAACATATCCTTTGTATTCAGTGAAGGTTTGTATTAAATGAAAAGAATGGAGTGTTTAATTTGTTTCTAATGATGCAGTAGAGAAGCAAGACATTAAAAAAAATGTCACATGGAAAGAGTATTAAAAATATAAAAATAAGTTTCTTGTTATATTCCAAATTATATTTTCATTGTCATGATTTTTGTAAAATGCTCTGTCTTCATGTTCCATTTAATTTTTCTTCTCTTGCCAGGTTTTTGGATTATCTGTCAGATCTGTGTGTGTCTAACACCACTGCCATCCCTGTCACTCAAGAACTCATCTGTAAATTTATGTTGAGTCCCGGCAATGCGGACATTCTCATCCAAACTAAGTAAGGCAGATAGATCATGGAGGCATTTTTTTTCTGTTCATTATTTTTTAAGTTCTCTATTTTTTTTTTTTTTAATCATAGTTGTAAGCGTGCTTCCTGATAGATTTTTGCATGTTCCTGATTTCAAGGCTGGTCTCCATGCAAGTAGACAACCCCTTGGAGAGTTGCATCCTACCAGATGACCTGGATGACGAGGAAGTCTGGCTGTACTGGATTGACAGCAACAAGGAGCCTCATGGCAAAGCTATTCGGCACCTGGCTCAGGAGGCAAAGGAAGGCACCAAAGCTGACCTGGAGGTTCTCACCTACTACAGGTGAGGTACTATAGAGTCGTAATTCACTCTTTCGCATATGCTTCGAGAGTGGATTCTCTGAAACCTCTCAAAATTAAGTCTGGGTGAAGAGGAGATTTTAAAAGTCATTCTAGAACTAGGGTAGCTGAAATGTTTAGGACTAACCGCGTCAACTAGTCAAAAGGAAAGCTGGCGTCTGTGTTTTCCAGGTACACCACTTGCCGTTCCCTGAGTTTTCTCTAGTTTGGAGTTTTGTGTAGTGGGGTGTTTCTGTTTTCAAGGAGAGAGGGAGACAAGTCAGGATCCAGGGCACAAATTGAGAGAGCAGTGGAACCTGGGCTGAGGAAGCTGACCTCACTGTGGGGTGGCCACAGAGGAGGGCAGCCAGTCGTTTATACCAGCGCTTTTTAATACCTACTGACCTGATGTACAGCAGAAGTACTGAAGGTCGTTCCCAGTGTCAGTAGGTTGGGGACAAGATCCTAACTGGCATCTTTGAGCTTCAGGGATGAAAACAGAAGGCAGCAACCCAGGGACTAGTTTGGCCCCAAGAGGCAGGAATCAGAGAAAAGCAGAAAATGCCTTCATTCTCTGGTTTCTGCAGCTACAGCCACAAACCCGTGGCTGACTCTTCATCTCAGAGGCTGAGGAATCCAAGTACTGACACTCTTTGAACTGACCCCATTGGGTTTGGGAACTGTGGGAGCAAACCTGGCTTGTAGACCCTAGAGCCCCCAGCTGAGGGAGGCTGGGGATGAGGCGAGATGGTGTCATGTGACTTGTGCTCCCTGGCCTTCCAGCCTCGTGTCTTTGTAATCCCAGGAAACCTGGAACACAGTGACCACCTGGGCCAGACACACGTCACTGGAACAAAGAGGAGAAATCACAATAAAGGGGCAGAGAGACCATCTCATGTCTGTGTTCTTATTTATCACTTGAACTTCCACTCACAGAGTTTGACTCCGTGTCACAAGCACTGGGAAATACAGAGATCATCAAAATAGACATTAATTTTTACCATGAAGTTTAGGAGGTTTATCAAGATAAAATCAACAATGTCATATGTCTCATATTTTTAAGGTACCAGCTAAACCTCTTTGCGAGGATGTGCTTGGATCGCCAGTATCTGGCCATAAACCAGATTTCTACACAGCTCTCTGTAGATCTGATCCTGCGGTGCGTGTCGGATGAGAGCCTCCCGTTCGACCTCCGGGCATCTTTTTGTCGCCTCATGCTCCACATGCACGTTGACCGAGACCCCCAGGAGTCTGTGGTGCCTGTTCGCTATGCCAGGCTCTGGACGGAAATCCCCACAAAGATCACGATTCACGAGTACGTTGGGAAACATTTCTCAAGACTATAAAATTTAGCAGTTGAACTCAAAATCAAATGTCTTTAATTTTGAGATGAAATACAATGGAAAGGCATGTGTGTATCCTAAGATTGTTCATCTTCCAAGTGCAAATGAGATTTTTGATTTTTTTTTTTTGGTACCGGGGATTGAACCCAGCATGCTTAACAACTGAGCCCATGTCCCCAACTATTTATATATTTTATTTTTTGAGACAGGGTCTTGCTAAGTTGCTGAGGCTGGCTTTGAACTTGGGATCCTCCTGCCTTGTCCTTCTGAGCCACTGGGATTATAGGCTTGTAAGATATTCTTTTTGAGAATAAACTGACAATTTTCAGTGATAATAGAAACATCTTTCTGGAAGCCAGTATGCAGAAATAATAAGAATAATGATAAGCGAAAAGCTTGAAATTAAAGTTGACTCTGATTTAAGAACTTTGTATGTGTTCTTTCTCATTTCACAATGACCCCGTTTTATAGATGCAGGCATGATACCTGGAAAGGTTAACTGATTTAACAAGATCATCAAGTGAGGAAGTTAAAGTACATAGTTTCCTGTTTTTAAATTATTATAATCAGTTTAACTTGCCTTATCTTCTGTCTTTCCAGATATGATTCTATAACAGACTCTTCCAGAAATGATATGAAGAGGAAATTTGCACTAACGATGGAATTTGTAGAGGAATACTTGAAAGAAGTTGTAAATCAGCCCTTTCCTTTTGGGGATAAAGAAAAAAACAAACTAACATTTGAGGTATTTTTAAAATGGTTTCTCATAAAGTAATTAAATGTTCCCTGTCAAAAATTAGATACATTAAGCATCAAAGATTTTTTTTTCCCTTTGATATTTAGGGTGTTTCGGTAATTGGATAGTTTAGTTCATGACTACATGATTCTCTGCATTGATAAAATAGAGATTTGGTACTTTGATGAGATACCAAAATACGTTAATATCTATTAATTACTGTTTCCCTTGATGTTTTTGAATATGTTATCTTTGTTACAGTTGATAAAAGGGGATACTTTTTCATATTTTATGTTTGGATGCTTTATTTTCCTCCCCTTATCTTCGCAGAGGTGATATTTTTAGGCTCATTTTACTGAATTGAAATGTCGTCAGTGATGATATCATTTTGGGAATGATGCAAACCTAGAGGATGCTGTTACAGGATACCTAATGTATTAGCTCCCTATTGGTGTGTGACATATTACCCTCCAACGTAGTAGCCTAAAACAAAAACATTCATTTATTGTCTTACAGTTTCTAAGAGTCAGGATCCTGGGAGTAGCTTGGTAGTTGTGGTTCAGGGTCTCCCACGAGGGAGCAGTCAAGATGTTGAGCGAGATGGCAGTCATCTGGGCTAGATGGTCTGCTGCTCGTGGTTATTGGTAGCCATGCTTTCTGGCTGGCTTTTGACTAAACACCTCAGCTTCTTCTTTCTGGGAGCTGACTATACCCATGACATGTCACTGGCTCCCTGCAGGGCAAGTCAGGACAAAGAGGACTCCAAGATGAAAGTTGCAGTCTTCTATCATCTGATCTTGGGAGTGGCATGCCGTCACTCTGCTGGATTCTGTTGGTCACAGAGACCAACCTATACAATGTGAGAGGACCCTGTACAGTGGGGGGCCGCATCCTGGAGGCTGCCTCTCCTACTTGCTGTGGTTCATAGTATACAGAAGACTGCAAAGCAGACTAAGGAACATGTATTTATGGGCAAGTTTCATGGATCATATTTATTTACTGAAGTAATTAATTTAACCACTTATTAAGTAGTGTCCTACTGACTTAAATGAGCTAATATTCAATAAAGAGGTAATAATTCAAATAAATAATAAATAATTCAAAATGAATCAAAATTTAAGGGTGGCTTTTTCAGGGATTTTAACTCCTAGGTATTAAAGAATTAGAAAGTTTAGCAATATCTGAACTAATTCATATTTTAAAATGCCAGTGTTCCTAATGTTCTTCTTTTTATTTCTGCCTTCTTTACGCACCTACCCCCCTTTTTTTTATTAAGGTGGTTCACCTGGCTCGGAATCTTATATACTTTGGATTTTATAGTTTCAGTGAATTATTAAGGCTGACAAGAACACTTCTGGCCATCCTAGATATTGTACAGGCCCCCATGTCATCGTATTTTGAAAGATTAAGCAAATTTCAAGATGGAGGTAAGAACTTCTGAGACATATTATAATTTTTTTTATTACATTGAAGTAAAATAAAAATCAAGTCTATAGAGCAGTGGTTGGTAACATGCACTTTCTCATACACATGCACAATACGTATGAAAAGTAATCTTGCGACCTGGCAGATGGTAATGGGGGATTCACAAGTATGCTTCTTTGTTTTAATGCTATAGTTTCAAAAGACAAACTTATAAGATCGAATTCCATCTTTAGCAATCAATGTTATCACCGATCCCCCAGTGAAAATGTTATATGTTAGAAGAATAAAAGCGTCTTACTCTTGGTGATCATTGTGGTATGTGTCATAGGGTTTGGAACAGGGCATCGGCAGATGCAAGGAGGTACTGGCTAAGGTCTTCCTAAGGGAGGCTGAGTATACAGCTAGAGTGGGTGGCAGTGGGTGAAGTGGAGGAGAGGGCTCTGGAGGTAGAGTGCCTGGGTTCCCTTCCTGCCTGTGGCATTATAACTTATTTTCTCTTTGATTTTCTTTTCTCACTTGAGATATAAAAATGACAATTATAGAATTATAGTGTCTTTCTCAGAGTTTTCTTATGAGAAGAACATATTGATGTATTCAGTAAACTACAACAGTGACTGTCTCATAATTCACTAAAGTCTTTTTATAAGGGTGATTGCCTTAGGTTGAGTATTGAAAGTGCCCTGAGATGGAGAACTTTTTGTGGGAAGCTTATTAAAGGGTGTTCTCAGGATATACACCTGTAAGGAAGTGAGAAAGGTAAGTTTGTGCAGATCAGAGGGACCAATGTGCCATGCTTGAGACGTCAGCTGAGCTGGAATGGCCCTATGGGGTTGTCACAGATTAAGGCCAGGAGCCCAGTTTCTCTCTTAATGTCAGTCATCCAGTGGCTGCTGGCTTCTCATGGAGTAGGGTGAACTGGGCAAGTAGCACTGGGTAAGTGTGCTGTGGCCAAGAGTAGTGCTTAGTGCTCACTCCGCCCTGAGCAGGCAGCAACCACGATGCCTCTGCACTCCTCACTGGGGAAGAGGTGCCTCAGCTCTGAAGCAGGGTAATAGGGGAGCACAATAGTATCCCCTGCAATAGCCACTGCAGGAGGAAAAGGTGGAACCAGAAATCTAATTTCAGACATTAGGAAGAAATATCTAATTAAGAATTATAAATGAGGTACTTACAGGTAATCCAGAATAATTAATTGCTGCTGCCTAAATCTCAATCCCTTTTATATCTTCCAAAAAACTGCATTGATCAATAAGAAGCAAATTCAATCACATAAATCCTTCACCTTCAGCATCACTAGAGGCCAGTGGACAGCACAAGCTTGAGTTACTGTAAATGGAAAAGTAAATATCAGTTTTCAGTAGAGCTACCTCATGAGCTCCCACTACAGGCCACAGTCAGGGTGTCTGGAAAAAAACAAAAGAGATAAGAGGGTATTGTGGGAAAATCACCCTCAGAAAGAGACGGTGTAAAAATACTGAAAAACAAAACAAAACAAAATCCAGTAGATATGAGCACTGACTAAAGAGAAAAAGGGACTGTAGCAGTTCTGGAGCTTTTAGGAATGAATGAGCTTAGAAGTAGGGAGAATCATCTTTTGGAGTCTTCTATATTAAAGGAAAGGAATCAAGATAGGGTCACCTAAAATAGTACATGATAAAAGTAAGCCAAGAAGTTGAAAGATAAACCTCCTTTATTGTCCCCACCCCTGAAAGCCACTTAAAAAAACTGCACTTCATGATTCTGACAGAAGAGGGAGCTCTTGAACCAGAGATTTTGAGAACCAGTTCCTATTGTCAGCCTGTCCACAAAATGCATAGATGTCATCCGTGTTCACCTGCATGACCCAAAGAGAATGGAAGTCAAACACTTGAGTCAATGACAATTCCTCTTTGAAAAGCAACCAGGAAGCATAAGAATGTTGTAACATGATACTCCAATCGAATTTAAATTTCTTCACAAACATTGGGGTATGGTAAACACTGTGAGACAGGAATTCCAAAACCAAGGTCAGAAATGGACCAAAAAGCAGGAAGAAATACAATGAAAATTGATTGAAGTCAGGAAAGAAATAGAACTTTATTTTCAGACATACAGACTACATTGTAAGGTGTCCAAGGGAGAATAGGTTTGAATGAAAATGTAATGAGGGGCATTGAAGAAAGTCAGGAGAACAGTAAAGAGAGTGATGATGATACCGAAAAAGAAGCCACAAAGGTGAGAGGGAAAGTGGAGGCATAGAAGAAAGGCAAAGAGGAGCCACTACATGAACAACTGGAGTCCCTGGAATAGAAAAACAGAGCAGTGGGGGGCAGGGTACAATTTAAAATGAAAATATCTAGGGAAACATTCTGGAAGTACAAGGCAATCTGAATCTACAGAGTGAAATTGTCCAGCATGGTAATGTCTGAGACACATAGTATATATTCAGAGGGAGTTGTGGGGGTCTGAGGCATGGGCAATGAAAGCATATGGAGAAAAAAGGAAAAGGTTACAGGATTGTTCTTTTCTATGCCTGCATCTTTCATGTGTGTTTACATTTTTTTAAAATATTTTTTTAGTTGTCAATAGACTTTCATTTTATTTTTTTAATTTCTATGTGGTGCTATGAATTGAACCCAGGCCCTCACATGTGCTAGGCAAGAGCTCTACCACTGAGCCACAACCCAGCCCTGTGTGTTTAAAATTTTACAAAAATAAGAGTCTGTGAACAATGTACGAATGAGAGCAAAGGAAAGAACTGCAGTGGTCAGTTGAAGGGCAGGGACATGCAGGTGGCCTGCTAATTCTGCCACCTGACTCTCACCAGTGAGCGACTCTTTTAGCAGTTGTAGAGGGTGTGTGTTAGTCAGGGTGGCCATATCAACAGAGCCTTCCTGTTATGATGTGTTGGCAATCTCCAGTTTAAACTCAACTATTCTTAAAAAGCTAGAAATTGATCCTGACTTTTGGTTTCAGTTTGATAGACTGCATATAGAGTTTATCCTAAAGAAAAGCATTTGTTTTCTCCTCTGAAAATGTGCTGATATCTTGTTCGTATTTTCCACAGTCTTGTCTGCCCTGTAAGACATGTAAACTTTTATTGTGGTGCTAGAAATTAAAGCCAGGGCCTCACCCATGCTGAGCCCATACTCTGCCACTGAGCTACATACCCCCCACCCCAGCCCTTATTCAGTTATTATTTTTTTTAAAGTAATAATTCTCATCTTTTCTAGTGAACCCCATTCACTTCTGGATATCTTAATCATCTTTCTTAAATTTGACAACTGTCGATTAATTATTCAAGAGGAATCTTGAGCCACCTCTGCATGCAAACACTGTTCTAGTCTCTGGAATTATCCAGGAACAAGATAAGCGAAGTCCTTAGCCGTAGAGAGGACTATTAATGAATAAGTTGACAAAATTCTTCCCCTGCCCCTTGAGAGAAGCTGTCAGATAATAAATGAATGTATGCTGTGACATTGATAATGCTGTGATATGGAGGAGATGGGCAAGGGAGGGACCTGGTTTGGTCCTGAGTGATGGGCAACCTTCAGAGAGGGGTTTGATGTGACCCCATCACTTTGGCTGCTCATTGGACAAGAAATGTCAATATGGGCAAAAATGCCAGCATCATGAACGGTAAAGGAGGGCTGAAAGCGCTCCAGATTAGAGGGGGTTAATCGAGATGACCATTAAATGCCCTGTGGAAGCTGGATTGGGTCTTGAATCAGGACAGATATTCTCTGTTGAAGGCATTAGGGGTGTTACAGAGCTGGATCCTTCCAAGAAACTGAGGCAACACGAAGACCCACCTTCAAACCTTGATTCTTGTGACCAAGTCAGAAGGATTTCAGACATGTTGCTTAGAGTAACAGGAATGTGTGTATTGAAGGGGTAAGGAAAAGGGAAGGGAGTCACTCTCAAGAGAGAGAGGACAGTGTGTCTCTCCTGCACTCCAGTCTTACTGGGGGTTCCAGAGAAGTTTCCAGAGAATCCCACCAAGGTCCATGTCTTGACTTTTGACTAACAGCAGGGTGACATCAGACTTTCAAGTCCCCACTGTCATGACGACTCTAGGTCATCTTGGCCCAGGCTGACCAGTTCTAATTGGATTTTTAACCATATATTCTTACAGATTTGGGGGTCAGGAGGAACTATCCTTATGTCCCAGGTTTTCAGGATCTGGTCCCAAAAGTTTCCTGGGTTCCTCCCGTTGACATTACCTTGGGCCTGCATTTTTCCTGCAATTAACAGGTAGTTTGCTGAGGAATGTGACATATCCTTAGGCCAGGCAGGGGCCCATTTCACAGAATTATTTTCTTAACCTCACGTTTCCACCATCCTCATCTGTCTGTTCCCCAACAGTGGCACAATTGATAAAATATGAATATGATTTTTGTTAGTGGTAGTACGGTATCATTTAGATTTCCTGAATTTTTAAATTGTGCTGTGGTTATGTAAGAGAATGTACTTATTTTTAGCAAGTACATGCCGAAGAATTGAGGTTTGAAAAGTCATGATGTCTGGAACTAACTCTAAAACAGTGCAGGAAAAATTTGTGTGTACGTGTGTGGATGGAGGGAGGGAGGGAGGAAGGGAGAGAGAGAGGGAGAGAGGGGTATAACCAGATC